GTGTATTTTGTATTACAAAATAATTTACATATTTTGATAATTTTGTAAAAAATCTGATTTTTAAGTTATTACAAAAGAATTGTATCAATGTATTTTGATGTTTTTTATTTGAGGATTAAAAACTTACAATGAAAAAAATAATAAAAAAATATTCTCATACATACATCGATAAAAGTTTTCATACTTCTATGAATAGTACAAAAAGAGCAAAATTATTTTAAACAATCATATCAAGCCAAGGAAATGCCCTGCAGATACTTGGTGAAAAATTCGGGTCAACAGTTAATCATTTTGAATTACTAAAAAAAGTTAATATTTTAATTTTTGACTTCTATAACTCTATAAGTATCAATTAGATAGAGTTTTTCACTAGAAAGTAGAATGTATAGAAACCACCTCTAAAGTTGAAATATGAAGCAATTTTACTGTTTCTAAAGATGACGTCAGACACACACAAAAAATACATCAGTTTAAGTGCAAAATGCAGTTAAAATATATATAGGAATATAAGATATAGATAAAAGTTAATATGAGGCCGTGAGTTAAGTTCATAAATTAATGTCCAAAACTGTTTTCAGCCATCTATGGAAAAGTCATAAAAGATAAGCGTATAACACAGTTTATTTAAGGGCGATATTACAATTAATTATCGCGCGCTTAAAAACATTAGTTGAATTTAAGTAATTAATTATTCGGCTTAACTACTATTTGAGTAATATAGGTACCCATACTATTAACATTAAAACGTATTTATAATTTTATATTCATTCGCGTTAGTCGTTACAATATTATTGTTGCTTCATTTTAAAATGTTTTAAAGTTGATAGGTATATCAGCCATCAAACCTCATACAATTAATAGCCAATTGGTACAATATAACAATGCGTTAAAGCCCCCAGTGCCAATGAAATTTTGTCCGCAAAAATACACTCTATGGAAATAATGATCCTGTTCTGTAGAATCAACCGAATTTTATATATATTTTTTTTTAACTAATAGAAGGTCATTGAACATTTTGACATTGGCAGCATTAAACTACGTTTTTCAATATTTTTATTTCAAACTTCATAATATAGGTATGTCTTCAAAAGTAATACAACTTTAATCTATTTTTTTACAAATTATGTTATTCCATTATTTTAAATAAAATAAAAAAATCAAAATTTAATGAGGCCTATAGGAAGTCTTCTTTTTTTCAGATAAAAAAAATAGTTATCAAAATCTGACAATTCTTTAACAATGTCAGAAAATTATTCCTATGAAGTCATTTTTTTTAGATATAATACACCTATCAACCTCCCCTAATAAGTATCTGGTGGTAGATTAGTGGACAATAAAATTAATTAATTTAGGTAGCAACTAAAATATAAAATATGATTTTCAAATTTAATAGAATTGGGGTAAATTTAAAAACTGGCACCGGCCCCCTTAAATCTATTTTTTTTATTCTAATATTATTTGAACAATTATTATCACGTCGTTCATAGTAGAAACTAGAAATATAAAATATTTCGGTACCTACATACATTTTATTTTTTATTTGAGATAATTTTTTTTAGTATAAAAGGAATGTTCAAGAATATTTTGTGACCCTATTGTTGGATTGGACATTTTATCTGTTTGATAATTTTGTTTTTAGTTGTTGATTAGTTTTCTAAGGTACAACCGTATAACAAAAAACTACCAATAACAACTGAAAAATGATAAAATATATGGCATATCTTTATTTTGGTTATATTAGGTAGGTAATAATTAGGTAATAATTAGGTAATAAATCACTACCCTGCACCGGAGCACAGTATCTATCCTATAGGCTACAGTAAATAATCGTATTCCGATAATGGAGTGTATGGTCTCCAAGTATGAGGTAGAAATAATAAATATTTTACATAGTTAAAACTGTTTATACCATTTTAAATAAATATGATATTTTTCAGGTTTACCATATGGTCTACTTCCAATTGCACAGATGGTCGTTTTTACAAAGCAATTTATCATTTAAAAACAATTGTCTTATGATTACTTGCTAAATATTAAAACGATTCAGTGTATAAGAACGTACAATTAAATTGTACCTAGATTGAATTTTCATGAAAAAATTACTTTTGTAATAATACCTATTCAAAAATCATTGTGAGAGTTGAACTGAGTTTTTTCCATCTATAAAGTATTTTGAAACTTAATTATACAAGTTTCGTAATAAATATTAATTTTTTCCAATTGTATCGTGATTATTTGCACTTCAATCATTTTCAATGCGAATAAAGGCGGCAGATGCAATATGCATAATATACTAATTGATACCTTTATAACAAAATTACGAACAATTTTATAATTAAAAATATGTATCCATACCTTACATTATAATTATTGATTCTTCATGCAACAAAGTGTTATTAGTTAGATAAATAATAACTTTTTTTGTAGTATTATTATTTAAAAAAACATATTATTATATTTCATATTCAGCTTATTTATTGTGTATACTTAAAAATCCAGCTTAATACGAAATACAGACAATAATTTAATTAAAATAACAGTACCGATGTATTACCTAAATATTTATAAAAATAGTCCAATTCAACATTTCTAACATTGAATCAAATCAAACTAATTTATTTTTTCACTAATTTTTGAATTTAATAACAATAGGTAGATATATGCACATATTATTTATTTTTTCGTTCCTATGTCACGTAGGTATTTAAAAATTGTGATAGTTTTATTTGTAAATTGTTATAATTTTTATTTTGAAACAGTAACTATTTATATTACATTTATTTATGTTTTTATGGTTAAAATTTTGCTTAGTCTTTATAGTTTATTCTGGCCACATTTTGCCGTTCTCTTTTTCACCTGACAGCTGAAAGTGACTTCCTAAATAGTAAATGCCCATAGTTGAATTATTTATCATCATATTTTGTTTTTGTACTCTTGTACCCGTTAAAAAATAATCCAATTGCAAATTTAATATTATACTACATATATTATTGCGCTTACACAAATTTGAATTTAGTGTATTATCATTATTTAATTTAAAACGTCCTGTTGTCCTCAACTGAAGACGAGCATGGCAGGTCAACTTTCTAAGTTTAATATCGTCTAGGGCAACAGGTATATATGTTTCTATAGAAGGTACACGTTTACTCTCTTTTTCGATTTTAACCAAACACTTTCTCTTTGATCATTTACACCTATGCATTATAATAATAACAACGTTAAACGATACATTTTATGATATCGACATATTATAGTATCGTACAGCGTGACATTACCTATATAAAAAAACAAAACGTCTGAACGGTCAACACAATGAAAACGTAGTTTCGAAAAAAATACTAAAACAAACAAAAATTACTTCTATCGTGTAACGTATTAAATATTCAGTTAAACTGTTAAAGTTTGGGCTTAGGTATAACTTGGAGAAAAACGAATTTTAATTTTCGCCCATTAACTTGGTATTATACATAATCATTTTCTTATATATTAAAATAGTTTTTCCATAAAAGAAAAGTAGTTTGAAAGTGGAGTACTTATGAGTGGGGGAGTTGCGAGATAAGCCTCTAACATTTTTGGGGATGTTCCAATTTTTTCTGAAGTACTTTTTTTGTTGATCAATTAAGTGCTTGATTTGTAGGTGTGACCCCACCTCCATCACTAAAAGATTAAACAGAAAAATAGATCTAAATATGACAATGAGTTAGAAGATTCTTCAATTCAAGTACCCGTGTACGTTCAGTAATACAACTACATTATTAAAATCTCAATATATTTTAAATAATAGTAGATAGCCTTCAATACTGGACAATCTGATTGTACCTAGGTATATAGTAATTTTATGACTGGTAGGTACATGTTTAACGTGGCCACCGAGCACGGTAACTTGGGCCAGTTTCAAAACTAAAATAAAAAGCATAAAGGACTAATGGTAAGTGTAGTAGGTGCCTATATAATATTTGTAATTCTGATATATTCTTATATAGATCTAATTAAGACACGGGATGTTTTTTGTACAAGTGCAAAATTACAAAACTGCCACTATATAGTGGGCACGTCGGACAGTTGCAAGTACTAGGTACCTGTATCAATAATCAAAATGTCGGGCGGCGTGTTAGTGTCGACAGTGTTGGCGAGTGCAGGAAGATTTTTGAAATCATTAGCCGTGCGGCGGCGGCCGACGCTCGCCGTAGCTCTGGTAAAACCCGGCGTCGCCCCGCGTGTAATCGCGCCGCTTGGCGCATTGCAGGTGCCGGCGGGCCAATGGCTGGCTGCCAAGGTCCGTTTGCCCGCAAAAATCCGATACACCGTGGCGCGCAACGCGTCAACCCAAAAATATTCCGGCCGGGCGGTGGCGGAGAGGTTACCTAATCGCCGCCGCCGGACAATAATATTATAATATAATATTATGATGAAATAAATAATATTTTAATCAATATACCTACACAATATTATTGTAGATTATAATCACGTCGGTCCCGACTAGCGATGAAATGAAAAAAAAAAATAGTTGAACAATCGATGGCCCGGCAATGGTATTTACAAATTATAATACAGTCGAAAACGGCGAAATAATAATACTACAAGTGCCGTAAATTAATTCGTGAGCCATCGATGAGTAAAAAAATAGTAATTCTGTTTAGTGGTAGTAGTAGTTGTAGTAGTGCATGTCGGAAGGTAGGTAGTGTATAATATTATTATATTATATGTGTGTGCGTCAATTCTTTTGTAGTATAATATAGTAGTAGTAGTAGTGGTGTAGTAGTAGTAATAGTAGTAGTAGTAGTAGTGTAGTAGTAGTAGTAGTAGTAGTAGTAGTCGTAGTAATAGTAGTAGTTCGGTGTGTGCGAGTGTTATTTCGTATTTCTCCTGCGCAGAGCCAAAACACATCCGGGGCGTACGAGAGCGCGCGCGCCGCCGGTGACGTCACGGCCGCCGTCGGTATCGCCCCGGTCGCGCTCACTCCTACCACACACCCACCGCGGCAACCGACACCAGTTTTACACTGAACGCGGTTACTGGTACTACACAGTCTACCTTTCGCGCACGATCCCACTACGACACCAGTGCGACTACAGACTACACATACAACGCTGCCGTGTTGTAGGTACTACAGTGGTTATATTTTCTCTCTCACACACACACGCGCGCGCGCCGGGTCGCATCGCATCGTTTTCAGTTGTTTTCCGTCACCAAACGACGTACACAGTCCGCCGCTCGTTTTTCGAAATAAATATATTCTATCCGTCGCGTCCGACGGCAACCCACGTTTCGTTGATACGACACGAGGAAGAGAGGCAGCGAGCAGCCAGCCAGCCAGCGAGCCACCGAGTGAGAGGTAAACGGAGCGGAGTTCAGCGGCAAGTATCCCGGCCGGCAGACCTGAGCATTTCATTGGAAACGCGGTTATCGCGGTATCCGTCGGAAGCGCGCGCGTTACTACAGAGTAACCACCGCCGCTTGTCCGGGTGACATACGCACCGCACACGCACTCACGCACACACACACTCGCCGCGTCAGGAGCAACGCGTCGTATACCACGCCAAACGTGTCCGTTATTGAATTTCTCGTCGACGTAACACCGACATCATAACTAAAATGGTGAGTGACATCAATACAATGTTATTACAACAATTATTATTATTATTATTATTATCGTCATTAGTTTATTATTCGTTACGATAAGACATGGGTGGCCGTGTACGCAGCCAGTCGGTGTCCGTTAAAAAAAATAAATAAAAATTAACCGAAGGTGGCGGCAGCCGCGGCTGTTGTTGCCCAGGCCGTTTATTTTTAGACTGACCGTTATGATTTTTTTTTTCGGTTTTCTCGTAATCGGTTTTGTGCCGTTTGTGGTCGTCGAGAACGGTCCAAACTGCCGCCGCCTTAGTCGTCGCCAAGGTGTCCAACATGGCGCCGCCGCTGTAACGCGTGCCTCATTTGTGGCTGCGGCGGCTGTTTTGGAAACTTTTTTGCCCATCGTTTTTTCCAATTCCTCCCTAAACAACTAGACTATATTTCTTTTATATTTGTACCGTCCGTCGGCGGCGGTGGCCTTGACCTTTGAGCGCCGCGAAGATTTTGTTCTCGCGTAGGTAGGTATTTATCGTGGTCGGGTTTTTTTTTCATTCGTTTTAATTTAGCGCCGATGACGATGACGATGGCAACGGCGGCCGACGACGTCGCGATTTTCTGTACAGTGTGCCGCACGGCGTTAGTCAAAAAATTCTCGTCGTTTGATATGGTTTTATTAATTTTTCAACTCCTCCGTAAGACGTGCGCAAACGCCGTCATGCATTTTTATTATTTGTCGCGCGACGACGACGCGGTGTGTATTATATTATTATTAATTCCCCGGTCGTCGGCCGACCGGTGGCCACGATATCGGCCGTTTCGTCGTCGTTAGTGGGGGCTGAGGCATTCTGGTGGCGGGGCCCCTCTGTCTGAATATGCGGCGGCGGTGGACATTCCCAGAATGTGCCGGGTCGGGTCGTCGATAACTCGGCGTACACAATAAAAATAATAATGGTCTGCCTATAATATTATTATAGTCGTTGGCCGTTGTCGTCGTCGTCGTTTATGAGTTGAGTTGAAGAAAAAAAAAAAATAATAATAATAAACCGGCAATAAGGTACTCGGCCGCGGTTTGAGTTTTTTTCCTCCTTATTTTTTCCTCATCCGTTCCCCGCACCCACACGGTCATCGTATTGTGTTAGTCGTGTTTGTGTGAACTGTGTAGTAGTTGTAAGTAGTCCCCCGTCAAAGGCCCCCGAACGCTATCTAGCGCCGAACGTTCGCACGTTGTCGGCCCTCCTCCTATCCCCTGACCAACGAGCCTTCCCCTTTTTACCTCTCGATAAAGCCACCTTACGAAACCAGGATTTTATTCGCGTCCCTAGGGCGTTTCTTGTGCCCCCCTCCCCCCACCACGTTTAATTGTTTTTGTTCTCGACCGAAATCCCCCTGCGACGAGAACATGTCATAGCTTTTGGATGAACCCTTTTCGTTTTGGTCACCATTAATATGTAGACAATCTTTTTTGAGTGATTTTCGCAACAGCTGATTTTTTAGCGGTGTGAGAATCTAGAGGGCTTTTATTTTTGAAAAACAATCAATTAGATTTATCATAAATAGCCGACAGCTATTAACCCGGTTGACTAGCCTTTTGAGTGCACTCTTTTGGCAAAAATATTTTTACTGTGGTCAATTTTATTCAACATTTTTATGAATAATGTTATAGTTTTGTACTATCTATCCAAATAAAATGTCTAGTTGATTATTTTTGTTAAGACTTAAAAACAATTGCCTGTCTATAATTATAACACTGATTTACTGATAACAAATTTATCTTGAAGGGTGATAGGGATATTTTACCTGTTAAAGGTTATGACCTTGGCCTTTTCACCTTTTCATTGAATTTTTTTCAATCTCTTGTTGTGTTTTGATTTTGGTGACTAGAGATTGTATTAATTTTGGATCTTGAGGCTGAACATAGTTCATAGGTGCCTACTGTCAAAATGGTTACCTACATAGGTACCTAAATATTCAGTTAAATCCATTTTTAATTTTTAATCTATCATCTACCTTCCTACCAATAATTAGTTCTACCTTGTTCAATCATTCTCAAGTTTTATTTTTATTTCTTGAGTATTTTAATAAATAATCATCAATAATAGATAGGTACTTACATAATAACTAGAAAATATGTTACGGTATTTTGTTGTGTACCTACCTAATGTACCTATGAAATCTTAAATTAAAATTCTGAAGTAGTACCTACTTATAATTCTTAGGTATCATTAACCCACTATCTTAATACCCTCACAAATTAAAACAAAAATTATCAAGTTTTATGATAGGTAACTTTATTACCTACAGTTAAATTTTAGTTTAATAAATATAAACATCATTGACCTAGCTTTAAATGTAATAAATGCTAATTAACATTGTACCTACTTGTTTATTTTTTCAAAAATTGTATTGTAACAGTACCAGTAATATTTTAGGAATGTTTAGGTCTTTTTGTACATTTATAATTATTTATATATTGTTGGTGGTATTTGGTAAGCTAATCTAAATGTATATTGATGTTATTAGTGCAATTCAAGCTATTGTCTAATAGCAGACTAATCTGTTGATATTAGTATGGCCTAGTTTATTAAGACCTACCTAAGATAATATTGTGAACGAGATTGTTAATAATATGATTCTTATGCATTTTTTTTCATAATTACTTGTACAAAGTGATTCAATTAAGTACTATTATTTTTTACTGTTATAACCTACAAATAAAATAAATTATTGAATGAAAATTATTTTTTTATTATACCTCCAGGAATCAAAATGTTTGTAGTTTCCCCTCTTTGTTAAATTTACTGGCTATACCTACCTATGTTTTCACATAATTGATAAACTTATGAGTAGGAAAACCTACATATACCTAAAATAATGATAGAATAGTTATTTTACCTGGGTAAAAAAGACAGTAAATGTTGATATGTAATAATTTTAGATACCTAGGTATGAAATTATTTAAAAATAATTGTTATTAAGACATTTAACTTAAATAAAGAAAGACATTCAATGATTTAATTTACATTTAATTGATGTTACATAATTTTCATTAATTATATCTATCTTATTTAGGTATCTTATTCTAGAATTACCCAAATACTTGTATTTTATAACTTAAAATAATCGTTGGGTGATTTTGAATTATTTTACGTCAGGTATCTTACATTTAATATTTGATTTAAGTTGTAAAGTGTAAACAATTAATAACAATTATTATGTTGTACTACTAAAAAAAAGCAAGAGAAAAGTAGTTGGGAAGGTTACAATTAATTATATTTTTTAAATATATTACTGATTTTAAAATATATGTTGTTAAATAATCTAGGCTGATCAACTAACAGAAGAACAGATTGCCGAATTCAAAGAGGCGTTTTCGCTATTCGACAAGGACGGAGATGGTACCATCACCACCAAAGAACTTGGAACCGTAATGAGGTCTTTAGGCCAAAATCCGACTGAAGCTGAACTCCAAGATATGATTAACGAGGTCGATGCTGATGGTAATGATAAGTTATATTAAAATGTAATTCATTTTTTAACTAAACAATTTGTTTACATTTTCCATAGGCAACGGCACGATAGATTTCCCAGAGTTCTTGACTATGATGGCCCGCAAAATGAAGGATACCGATAGTGAGGAAGAAATCAGAGAGGCTTTCCGTGTATTTGATAAGGATGGAAACGGCTTTATTAGTGCAGCTGAGCTGCGTCATGTTATGACTAACCTTGGAGAAAAGCTCACCGATGAGGAGGTTGATGAAATGATCAGGGAAGCTGACATTGATGGTGATGGTCAAGTCAACTATGAAGGTATTAAGTGGGAATTTAGATGACCACATTATGATATTATAAAAATGTTATTGCAAAATGTGTTAATATAAATGCCTATAGATTGTGTATGTGGGACATATTATAATAAGATATGTGGCTGCAGGGTTAGCAGAGAAGTGTATAACACATATAACCTCTCGCTGAAGAAAGTATAGTAAATCAGTCAACATAATTAGTATCGAAAGATTCTATTGATTCCAATTGATTTATACTATATTCTAGCCCACAAAAGAAGGAATTTATTTTTACGTTAGTGAATGTTCCAGTGCTGGTTCCCCCACTCAGACAATGGGTAACATGCTAAACATGTTGCAGCATCACTGTCTGTATGGGGATGCGCACATTCAAAAGCTTTTTTTTTATGGAAGCGCAGATTCCTTCTCTTGTAGGTTGCTAATATTATGTTAACAATACTAGGTACACATTTAATAGAAAAAAAAGGAAAAAAAATTATTTTCATTTCACCAATCTTACATTTAACTACTTTGACAGAGTGCAAAATCTTGCGGAATATAATTTATTAATTATTTTTAATATTCTTTTTATTTTATTTCAAATACCCATTATAATTTTAAATATTGGCTTATAATAAATTATACGTGTTGTATATTATGTAGGGATGTATACCTTTAAATATATGATAAATCATTAAAACATTAAAAAACATTCTTGAGATTAAAAATTTATTTAAACTGAAAAATGTAGTATGTTTTATTTTAAGAAACATGCTTTTACGTACTAAAAATCATGAAAATAATGTTATACCAACATATGATATGAACATTTTAATTTAATCGTTTGTTAAACTTTAAATAAGGTTATGTTATGTATGAATAGTTATACAATTTATAGTTATTATAAGTGTACAAACAATTCATCTATGTTCTAAATGCAACTAATTATAACTTAATGCATTTATACATTAAAAATTAAAATATTTTACATTTTTTGCTGGCGATGGCAATGTTTTGATATTCCAAATATTTGCTTTGGAGAATTTTGTAGGTTACATAGTTAGGTCTATAAAATATTTTTGTTCAACTTGCCTAAGTTTCAGTTACTTTTATTTAAAGTAATAAACTATTGGGTCCTACCTGCATCAAAATGCATTACAGTAATTAAAAATAGATGACCATAAAAAATTTGAAAGTATTTTCATTGATGTTGTATGAATGAAACATACTTAGTAATAATGTTTTGTTAAATAGCGTGCCCCATAAATTATTCTGAGTTAATCATGTATATGCGTTTTGTTAATTTTATTGATTTTAAACTTATTTTGTTAAAAACTAATTGTTGTTAAAATAACTTCTTTAAAAAACTTTTTAATTTCTTTGTACCAAATCTGAAGTATAGTCATTTCTAATTTGTGTTCATGGTATCACCAATTTTTAATTATTGTATTAAAATTAATATGGTACTTAGTGAAAAAATTATGATTAGGGTTTTTCTTATTATTGTATTTAAGAGTATTTAAGTTGGTCAGAATATTCAGATAGTTGACAAGCTACTCAATTAAATATTTATGAAACATTTAATTAATTAATTAATTTCAATTAAGATGACAAACGCCTACTATAGTAAACAAAATGTTTTTAAAGATTAGTAATTTACAAACAGTATTTATTAATAATTAATATGATTTCATAATGGTACCTATTAAGTTTACATTTTTTAAATTAATTTTATTGTTAATAATTTAAACAGTAAATTAGTTAATTCACATTGAATTGTTTTCAATCGCTTCTAAATATAAACACAATTTTTGTTTGGTAATTAATGAGCTTAAATGCCATAATATTTAGTATTAAAGCATAAAATAAAATATTTTAGTCAAGCGAAAATCTTTATTAGTTTCAGTTTAGAAATGTTTGACATATGTAGCCAATAGCACTTACTAATTGACGACACAGATAGTTAGGTGTTTTAGTTTTTTTCTTTTTTAACTTTGCAGATTTCCATACTTTAGCTCGGACCATTTTTGTACGTACTGTGACTGTGGTCAGTGCTCATATCTATATTTGTGTTTTGTTTTTTTTTAATTTCATCATAATTACACATGATATCTCAAATCGTTGAATTGTGACGTACCATCATTAATGTGTTATCAGTATTTGATTGACATCATCAACCTAGAAAACCCCACCTATTATACAGAATGTATGATAAATATTTTTATTGTTTACGCGATGATTCCATTTCTAGATATATTATGCATGTAGAAATAATTGATTGAAGTGAGAATTTAGATGTAGTCTTGTGTTAACGCATGAGTGTCATTTATATTTAAATAAGTATTTCCTATTTATCTTTGATTATTTTCCTTTGTTCCTTGGTTGTGTTTCTTTGTTTTTAGCATACATTTTATCGGTGAAAAACCGAATGAAAAAGTACCTTCTGAAAAAAACACCACAAAAGAAATCAAAAGGCAAAAAGAACACTTAGAACCATCCATGCACCCCACTTCCTGTACTTTGGCCATTCAATTTTTTTTTACAAAACTTTCTTTGTTTCTAATTTATTAGGTAGAATTTGTAAATGATTGTAACCAACTATATTATTGATACTTTAAGTGTTTGTATTATAACTTATGCAATTGTTTGTATTTTGTTTCAGAGTTCGTGACCATGATGACTTCTAAGTGAAATGTGTTTCATTATTAATTATTATTATGTAATTTTTTATCATAATTTTTTTTTTTCAAAAAAAAAAGGAAGAAATTAACCTGCATTTTTTTTTTTTTGTTCGAGTAAGCTTTAAAAAGATAATGTGATTATCAAAAGTAAACAAAGATTAATTATCTTTTTACCACATGTGGAACTCTGTGAACTTTTTTTTGTGTTGAGATATTCGTTATACTATCATCTATATGGTTAATTTTTTTTTCAATTTCACCAAAATCAGTTCTTTTGTTTGGCAGTAAAACTGCCGTGTAAATTTTGTAAAAAAAAAAAACAAAAAAAACTATCCGACGGCAACGTGTTTTTTCTTTTTTAAATATTACAATTTTTCTTTTCAGTTTTTGCTAGCAATGTTTTCATCTTAACATATTATATTATTATACATAAAATTATGGTAATATGATATAAAAATAATAATAATAATCTTAAGTATGAAAAATTATATTATAAATAATTTGTTGTTTTACACTTTAAAACATAATTTTAAAATCTTGTAATTTTTACGATTAATTATAATCTCCAGTGTTTTAGTAATTTATTATTATTATTATTATTATTATTATTATTATTATATAAATATTAATTATTAAATATTAGGGACGTTTTCACATTCCTCACTCACCGATAAAGTTTAAAATTTTTTTTTTTTAAAACGAGCTATAATAAATCAATCAACGATATTCAAAACATTTTACATACTATTTTGGCATGATAATATTTATTAGCCTATTACAAATTATTGTAATTTTTTTTTATGATTATTATAATTTTTAAAAAGTATACAAAAAGACACACATTAAACGTTTTATTTCTTCACTTGTAAAAAGAGATTTGAAATTGTTTTATTTAATCCTCATTTATTTTCAATTTTTATGAAAACATATTATAATATGCACGTCTGCCACACACGCATACACACCCACATCCATTTGGTTAAATGTAATATGCAAAGAATACACTGTATTGATGTATATACTATAATATATATGAATACACATAATATATTTTATTGTTATTATACCATTTATTGAGACAATACTGTATACATATTGTGTACTGTTTTGTTTTACCTTAACCTTTGTGTTATAGTCGAAAGTCAATGGTATATCATAATATTTTGTGGTGTCGGACGTGAATAACTATTTAATTTTTTTTATACATAAATACCTAATGTATTCGAAATAAATAATTTATTAATATATGTTTCTGCGGTGCATGGTGTATGTCGACAATTATTTGTTTCGTTTTAATTAAAACGTCTTCATCTATAATGGAGAAACATGTTCAGATGAGAAAGAATACCAGTTACAGAATTGCCATGTGCATCGGATGATTGCTGCCATTAACCAACTTGAGCTTTTTCCGTTATCTCTTCACCATCCTGCGCCTGCAGTATTATAATAATTGTTAGTTTGACGCGCATTAGTGTACTGAATTTGAATTTTTTTCTTCGTATATATTATATAATATATATATTTTTTATTTATTTATTTACTAGGTTATTTTATATTTTAATCTGTTTTACTAGACTTTTGTTTGATAACCGCAGTTGTCCTACTTTTTGTCTAATAAACACATTTTATCATTGTTTACTTGTTCTTGGAATGGTATAATAGCTGGATAAACTCCTTATTTGTAGTAAATGAAAAAGTAATAAATCTACTGGAGTTTAAAGGAAAATTTAAAACAACAGGCAGTTGGTCAACTCCTGACTGGAAGTATATTGTCCGGGCGGGGATGAAATGTACTGGCTACTATAATTGATTACACTAATATTATACCTACCAACAGTACAAAATTATTTTTTTCAAATCGGAATCACTGTTATTATCTATTCTGTTATTGTTAAGGAGATAATCTTTTTTGAAAATTTTGACGTAGGGTTTCTACATCAACATTTGAATGAACAAGTAGATTTTGAGTCATTTAACTGTATATTAATATAGGTTTGGTAGATGTACGGACTATTATGATTTTAAAATTATATACATTTATATTAATTTATCGATATTTAAATATTTTATAGTTTGTTAAAATTGTCCAAGTACCTATAATAAATGCTAGATTCAATGTTATGTCTATTTTACATTTTTACAAAACTAATATAAATCAAAACGATCCTTTAATGGTATAAAAAATTTAAATAGTTTAAAATGGTCCTTTACTTACAAATTCCAAAAATGAGAATTTGAATAAATTATTGAAAGAAAAATAGGGGTGAGCATGCTTTGGTGAATCATTCTGTATTGTCTTTTATATTTTAAATATACTTACCTACTTTCTTTTATCAATATTTTATTTAAACCTAGGTTGTATACAAAATATAATTAGATTCTATATTTTCCCACACATGGTGAATTTGTGATAAATTTAATATATACCTACCTAACTACTATCTACAACCGTGGTTTATCCATGTTTAATTGATTTATTGAAACGAATCGTTTTTATTTTCATAACTATTTTTAAAGGATGATCATCTAAAAAAAAAATCCAATTAACAACTTCTGGGATTTATTACTACTGAAAAACGAATAATCAACTATCCAAATGCCAATTTTAAATAGTATATTAAAACATTATGAGTATAAATTAAGTAGTTAGTTAATCAATTTATACGTACAATTTAAAGCATTCTAAAGATATTCAACAACTAATGAGATAGGTTCCTTTAGCTATGGGATAATTCGGTCACATATCTAAATTTTTATATAAAACCTAATAATATTGATAATCGATTATCGTCAATAACCACAGTCCACAAGTCACTAGTGTAAATGATTTAATGAAAAACATATTTTTAAAATAGTTAAATATACTATTGGTGCTACAGCCTACAAGACTAAGACACAAGAGTAACACTCAACTGACTAGTTACGGGCTAATAGCTTTACATTTTGTATTTAAAAAAACCATTAAACACATTTTCACACAAGAATAATAATAATAAAAAAAAATATATTATTTACTGTAAATTTGTTATTGCAAAACACCTAACAGTCATGTTTTTATAATTTTATTTTAACTGATAAGATAAAAACAGGAAGTTGGTTTTATTTGGAACCATTTTGGACCGTTCCTTCAATTTCTTCTAATAACTAGAAGTTTCTCTATACTGACAACTACTATAAATTATGAATGCTTCTTAATTTTAAGTTAAAGAGAAAAACGTGGTTTTATGCGATTATTTATTTGCTAAAATATGTTCTCTCACAACTCACTAGTCACAATCAATCAATGCGATTTGTTTTTGTCAATAATAAGTTCAAACTTTTTTTTTTATTGAACAAAAAAACAACAATTAAAGGGATTAGTTTATGATTTTAAATCGTAGAACATAATATAAACGTTGCAGTTGGCGAGGTATATAAAGTAAACAATCGTCATACCTAATATAATAACTAATAACCATAAATATTAAATTCACTGTAGTAGTTAATTAAAAATAATATATAATACACGCAGTAGCCAGTAATAGGTAATTTCTAATAGAAGAAAATTACAGGGGAGGTATAAGAGGCTTAACCCGCCAAAAAATATACAGTTTTTTAATTGTGTGGGGTGGAAGCCAACTCCCAGTACGCACATTGATATTAAAAATGTTAAATGCCTTTAAATTTAGGTAAATGGATTTGCGCCTATTGCACTATTATTGTATAACTATTAAGTAGTATTAACTATAGCAACTACGTTTGCCAAACTGTATTATATAACTATATAATAAGTCTGTTTTTTAATGAAAGTCATCATATCTGTGATGATTTCGGTGTTTGGTCCTAATGTTTTGCCCATGATGGTTGTTATGGGTGGGATGTTATATTTTTTGAGTAGGTACGTATAACTTGTTCTTACAGTTTTCTACCTAAATATAATATATTTCAATAAATAAATAGGTAGTCATTTAGCTACTTACCTAATTACAATATTACAGTGTACTTGTATTCATAGATGATACTAAATAAAACGGAACAGTTTGTTTAACATCGTAGGTATTATAATTCTAGAAGACCTATAGGGTTGACGTATCGCCTATATATCTGACATATTATAATAGACCCCCAGCATTATCTAGGCATGTATTATTATACGTGGTACCTAGGTATAAATATAAGTCATTATGTCAAATAACAAGTCCTAGAATAAATTATAAAGATACTGATCTAGCGAGTCGAGGGAGCCATGGTACCTACCTATAGAAGAGGATAACACAATTTTAATTACGACGATGGCAATTGCTTTTATTATTACAATAGCGACTACACAAATTAATATTTTATTTAGTTCGAAATGTACAATATTGTCAACATTGTATTTTGATTTTCTATGCATAGCTATATTTTTTGTTTCAACTGTTGTATATACCTATATCATGTATTAAAATATATAATAAATTAATGAAATATACACCTAAATAGTAGTCAGTAGATACATTAAAAAATTAAATTATTTCGTTCCTAATAATCTTACCTACTTAATAAATTAAAGAAAAGCACCATATTTTTGTAATATTAAAATCATGTTTTTATGATTTCGTTTTAGGTATCTATTATTGTTTTTACAACATTACTCTTTTTAGTATTATAGTGAAAATCAAATATTGTGATTTATGGTGGTATATCTGAGGTATCCGTTTTCTTTTGTCAGTTAAAAACGAAAACATTAAATTATTTATATTTAATACTTTTAATTACATTTTTAACACACCATTATTATACAAAACCTACCTATCTAGATAACACGTCTATTTAGGTGGGTACTGGGTCACTAAAATTTCATCTGTAGAAGCTGAAAAATAAATAATTATCATATTTTAGTTAAAGAGTATACTTAATTTCCAGCATAATTACTAATTAGTATAAAAAATAATGGTCTATTATATTTATTATTTTCGACATAGGTAATACCAAATGTGCTATATTTTACTGCGGGTTTTTGTGCGCTGGCTGTGGTGGTAGTTTTTTTTTATTCGCTAGACATTTCTAATAATTTAAACCTTCAGCTTTTCAAACGTGCGCAAGTAGAAAAACTGTAAACCCGCAATGTGCTTTCAGTACATTATGTTTCCGTTTTTGTTACTAGAAATACATTTTACACCGAACACTCGTCACTTTAAAATAAGTTCCTACAACACTGTTTAGTATTATTTTATACTTATTTACTTATACATTTGAACATATTCGTTAAATTATTATGATAAAATTAACTATTGCGGTAAGGGATTTTAATAAACATTATTTTGTTTGGAATAATAATATGTTATAGGTCAGAACAGCCACTGGATCTGTTATTTTCTCGCCATAGTAGATAAAGCCATTATATTGTGACATTGTGTGGCTGACTACGCTTGCCAATATAATATATTAGGCAAATACCTACCTATTGAAATTTTCACAAAAGGCTATTTTAATTTTATAATTGTGTATACTGCAGGACATAATATAGGTGAACGGCGGAAAACATGTATATTGTACCACTGTAAAAATCTCAACATTCCACGAAAGTCAGCTATAATATAGGTATCATGTAAAATCAAAAACCTTTTTATTGGTTGAAATACGGCTATCATGGCTTTTCAGTGATTTGAACTAACGTGTTTTGGACAAATTATACGATGAAACTTCTAAAAATTTATTTGGTTTTGATTTCATTATTTATTCGCAGCAAGTCAGAATGGTATTTAACTGTCATTATGTATGTTGCAAAAACAGTTGAAGCCTTGAAGCCAGGAGAAAAGTGTAATTTCAAGGCGGCTTTTTTCCCTCTTCCGCCACCGTATGGGTGTAGGTAACTTGGAATTGTAGTTATTACCTAAAGAGACCAGTGGGCAGTGACTCATAGAAAATTAAAGTTAAAAATAAGGGTGCACCGCTTTTCAGTGACAGACTTAACTAAGGTTTAAATTACTCAATTGGAGGTCAAAAGGTAAAAGTATTTACCACCACCACTTTATAATATACTTTAGTAAAAGTATATTATTTACTTACAACATAGTTATAACTGCCACCTCGATCTTGAGAACTACTCACGCCAATGCTCACCATGCAGAAATCTTGCTGACCTGCACGAGCGCGAAAAAGAAAGCGAAGCGATATTTTCCAAACAACCAGCTGCAGGTTAGGTTAAAGTGCATTTTCTACACGAAGACGGAAGACGGAAAATATTGGCACACTGCATCTGGCAATTATTTTTGTTGTTTATGGGCCAAAGTTACAGGGTTTTCGATATTACTTAAAATTGGTGTACCGTCAATTTATCGTAAGCAATTGACCGCGCGACAATTGACCGTAAACAATTGATCGCAAGCCAATTGACCGCAATTACAATTTACCGCACGACAATTGATCGCAAAAATAGCTTTAAGTTATTTCATAGTGCAGGGTGAATAGGAATTTTTCGTAATATTATTCGATCGACATAACGATCGTCGATCAAGTCTTATCTAAACAAAAAAAATCACTGTAAAGGTCGTGTACACGTAATAGACGAAAAAGTCACCAAATATATTGAACATAATAATCACGTTCCAAATGCAGCAAAAATCGAAGCAAAAAAAGTTATTTCAATTTTAAAGAAAAATGCATCACAAACAACTCTCAGCACACATTCAGTTTTAGGAAACACAGTTATGCAGGTAATTCATATTTTAGTGGCATAGAAATGGATAAAATATTAATTATGAAAATTAAACTAAATTAGGTAACAAGTGCAGTTTCCGCGGAAATGTCGAGTGTTAATACCTTGAAAAGGACAATTCAACGTTTGCGCCAAAAGGAGGAAGCTTCACCGGCTAATCCAAGTAATTTTGAATTTATTATACCAGATCAATATAGGTATAACTCTAATGGCGAATTATTTTTAAAATTCGATAGTGGTCCTACTGAATCTCGTATTTTAATATTTACAACTCAACAAAATTTAGATTTTATGAGCGAATGTGATAATTGGTTTTGCGACGGAACATTTTCAGTGGCACCCCCTATTTTTTCTCAGTTATATACTATACACGGGGTGTATTATTCCAACGTTATTCCTAGTGTTTACATATTACTGCCAGATAAAAAAGAAAAAACTTACCGTCACATGTTTGAAATTTTAAAATCACTGAAACCAAATTTAAATCCAAAAAGTATTATGATAGATTATGAAAGAGCAGCTTTAAATGCTATCGAAATGGAGTTTTGTGATACAGAGATAAAAGGTTGTTTTTTTCATATGTCGCAATGCATTTGGCGTCATGTACAAGAATTGGGCCTACAGACAACTTATCGAAATGATCCAGAGTTATCATTAAGAATTCGAATGCTACCCGCATTAGCATTTATTCCAGAAGCAGATGTAATTAAATGTTATGATGCACTACTAGCTACAAGTTACTACACAGATAATGAGGATCTACTGGCGCCGCTGTTGGATTATTTCGAGAATACATGGGTAGGAAAATTAGATAGGAGAGGAAAAAGAAAACCACCAAAATATGCAATCACATTATGGAATTGTTTTTCGAGAGTAATCCAAGATTTAGCTACAACAAATAATGCTATAGAAGGGTGGCACAATTGTTTCACATCACTTATAAATGGTAAGAATCCTTCAATTTGGCGGTTTATAGATGCATTAAAAAAAGAAGAGAGCATAAACAGATTCAAAATCGAGCAGTACGTAGGTGGCAATGAGCCTCCAAAAAAAAAAATTTACCGAGATAGAGCGGCTAAAATCAAAAAAATATGTACCAATTATAGCAATTATACAAATATTGAAGATTTTCTTCGTGGCATTGCATACAATTTTCAATTGCAAGTTTAATATTTAGTGTTTAATTCTTATATATTATACGTGACCTACCTTAATGTATTTATTATTATTATTATTATTTTTTTTTTTTTTCATTAGATAACCCGCGGCAACAAAGGCCATTGGGTGACATATTTATTATTATTATTATTTATATTCAATTATATGTAGGTTCATTAAATGTTTTTATTTAAAAAAATATTACGTATAATTTTTATATACCAACATTTTTTATTAAATATCTACCTTAATGTAATATATTTATATATTCAAATTAAAAATTATTACTGATTCCGATTCCTGATTTTCCGATCAATTATTGTCGTGCGGTAAATTGTAATTGCGGTCAATTGGCTTGCGATCAATTGTTTGCGGTCAATTGTCGCACGATCAACTGTTTACGATCAATTGACGTGTATCCCTTAAAATTGTATCCAACGATCAGTAGACACGCAAAACCGTATACGTTCCATTGAATCCATTGGCCTTGTACATTACTAAAAACAAAATAGGTTTTTAAAATTTCTACATTTTTAGTCCAGCTAAACAATATATCAAACTCATAAATTATGTATTACCTTGACTTACATATATATAAGTAGGTATACAATTTTTTTTCGTATTATGACATGATGTTCTTCGGACACCATAATTAGTGCCGGATCTATGTCATATGGCGCTCTGGGCTGATACACAACAAAAAAAAAAATAAGCACCCTTAATTGCAGTATTTTCCTACAATAGAATGACATATTTTTTTACATATTTTAATTTAAAAAAAATATATCTAAGTTTATTAGACATGAATACAGAATATTTCTATCTACGTTTTTATAATTGAGAATTTTCAAATTATTTTTATTTTTCTAAAGCCAATGTTTAGTGTTTTTTTTCGTTTTTTTTTATATGTCTTGTCTATTTTGTTGCTTTTTTTTCTAAATTTTAAATGACATTTTTTTCCCATTATTTATCTGAAATCCAACATTTTTTTGTTTGTGCCAATGTAAGCCACATTTCAAAATCCTAAAAACTTTCTTTGATTCATGTAGTACCACGTTTGCTACAACAATTCAATTTTTTACTGTTTGTCCACACAAAAAATATTGATTTTTATTTTTTGTACAGACGAATGATGTTTATTTATTTCAACAGGACAACGGGCTGGTTGTGTGTGCCAATGAAGAGTTAACTAACAATGTTTTTGTAATGTAATACATCTCAGTAAAATATATTGATGTTTTTGGTCTCGTGAAATTATAAGCTTACCGGTGTGTTTATCGGTGGCCCTTATTTTATGAATGGAGTTATATATGTTGTATGTATATTTTAAAAAAAAGATAATACTTTCATGGCCTTATGGGTAATAATATTATTTACAGGCGTAGATATTTGTATTCAAGTAAATAAATAAAAATATAAGTTCCAAATAGTATATGTAATATATTTATTTACTGCATAGTGCATATTAAAATAATATTAATAAATAATAATACAACATATTATAACAAGTAGAAAGGTATACCTACCTACCGTTAGTATCAAACAGTCAAATAACAAATTCCGAAATTCGTTGCTAATAAAAATAATATACTTTGATCTATTCTCGATTAGAACGAAGTTTCAATCAACAAAAAAGATACGGAATAGTTCTAAATTTTAAATATAATATATTACAAATAGTATTTGTGAAAAAAAAATATTACTTTTATCTACCATGCGCAATATTTATATTAAGGTTTTTTTATTTTCTACTTTATTTCAATCCAAATCTATGTGTACCTGAGAGAAAGTGGATATAAATTTAGTCAATCGTGCTTATTGTATCGTTTATTATTAAGCTGCATTATTGGTGGAATAATACAAAAAGCAAAGGTATTTATAAATATAAAGCATTTAAGTTAAGCGTTACTCTTGTAAAGCTGAAACGATCTCCATCGTGTGTTTTTTTTCTTTTTCTACATTACCTACTTATAATTAATTTTATATTTGCTCACTCTAAAGTCTAAATACGCTGCAGATTGTGAGTTTTTTTGATAAAAAAAAAGTACCAGGGCTGGAAAATGTAGTACAATTTTTTAATTAGATTCTAATTGGTTTTTTTCCCCCCGTTTTTGGAAATAAATGTCAAGGCGCTCT